ATACAAACACCTCAGGCAGAGTGAGGGCATACAACCACCTTTCTCCATTGTTCCATTCGAGTAGTGGGGTTAGGCAGGGTTGCCCAATCTCACCATTCCTCTTCAACTTTGCCATCCATGACATTCTGGAAACAGCTCTGATAGATGTAAGTAATAGCGGTGTGGATCTGTTGCCTGGAGAAAGACTTCTCGACCTTGAGTATGCGGATGATAATGTTTTACTCTGCGATAATGCCCAAGCCATGCAATCCGCACTTAATCAGTTGGCAATCAATGTCCGTAGGCACGCTATGTGCTTTGCACCTTCGAAGTGCAAAGTACTTCTACAAGACTGGCAGGATTCTAATCCTGGATGGTGAGCAGATAGAAGTAGTCGAGAAGTTCGTGTATCTAGGTAGCTGCATAAGTGCTGGTGGTGGCGTGAGTGATGAGATCTTGAAACATCGCGTACACTTAAGTGTCTGAGACTAATAGGGTTTCTTAGTAAAGATGAGAACGTTTGAGTTTAAACAATCAAATTGAGCTGATGCTTAATTCGAGTGAGCAATAAAACACCAGCAAAGCTGAATGGTAGTGAGAATGAATTTTCAGTACACACCTTAACTATTTAAGACTTTGCAAATTAAAAAGCCCACTCAGTAACTGTCTAGCTTAGGATTAAGGTGAATGGCTCTAAAACGATGAATTAGTCAATATACTAAGTTATTGTCGACAGGAAATTCAGTTACCGAGTTGGATTTACAATGGAATTGTTGTTATACTGTTAATTCTAAAAACATGCGATTTGTCCAGTAATTTTGAATAAATCGAGCATCGGGTAGATTGTTATAAATAAATAATATATTTGTAATGTCCCAATGAGTAGAAAAAAAATAGATTTTCTGACGTTTTTTTATTCTATGATTAGTCCAGTAGTTTACAACTGAAGAAAAATGATTTTCATCATGCACTGATGTCAGCTGAAGAACCAGTGAGAACAAGAAGACATCAAACAGCGGTTTAGTTCCAGCTTTCAAATTCTCAACACTATGGTACTTACAACAATACACAGGTTACTTTGTTAGATCTAGTGAGAGTTAGCTAGTCAGATAATAACTGTCAAAAAAACTTAATACACACTAAGTTCCTTTTCACAAAATGGAATATATCTGGTCGTCTGTTTCCAAAACTTGAACTAACCAAGAAAGATTAATTAAACATATAAATCTTATGCTCGGATTACTTAGTGATCCTCCAGAGAATCATGGCAGCTAACAGATAATTAGAATACTAAGTCCTGTCATCAGTGATCATACATACATAAATGATACGTTTTAAACATATAAACCTTTTATCAACATGTATCACATCAAAATGTATGAATAAAAGCCATATGAAATGGTGACTAACTAATGCTACTCGGTTGTAAATTTACAACTGATATCTGTGTTTATAGAGTGGTTGTTTCGGAAGTCATTAATTAATGAACTTTTTGTGGCTAGTTTATTCATATTCTTTTTATACAAACAATATCAGTATTAATAAACCAGAGCACTTCTATATAGATATATATGAATGGCTACTAAATCACACCTTTGATTTAAGCCGATATAATAAGAGGATTTTATAAATTTAGGTGATCAGATTAAAAGATAGGAATATGGGGGACGTAATAAACAAATTAATAAAAAACAAACCATATAAAATTATTAATTTCTAGTGTTATCATCACCAGTGCCAGTGTGAATAAGACTAAAACATTTAGATTGTGTTGATTTTTACAATATATCATTGTGACTATGGTACGTTAATGGAATAAATCATTACGAAACAAAACTATACAGTAGACAAAAAGCCTATTGTTTATTTTTTCTGGACACATTAACAGGTGCGAATGAATCAGGAAATAGGTAGACTGAAATAGGGAAACAATGAGTCAAAATTCTTGAGAGGAAATGATTTTGGCCTATTTTACATGCACAAAAAGAAAAAAAACCACCTTTATTCTATAAACACAGTGGTTAAGTAACTGTTAGTAATAGTGAGGTGAAATAGACATGATTGAAACTAATTTCAAACATATTAGTAGTTTGGTTATACAACTGGGTGAATAAGCTAACTGTAAAATGAATATGTTTCTTTACAATAAGTGTATGTAAAAATTAAACTGGATAAATAAACAGATTCAAGTATACATTCTCGACTTCGAAAATTTCCTACATTTTATACAAAAGCATATTTTGTTTTATTATCAAATAGAATTAAAATTGAAGCAAAATTATTCTAACCGATAAAAGTGTTATTCTTTGTTGTAAGTCACAATCATCGTATTAACTAGGTATAAGAAAATTGCATTTCCGAACAATGTTTTCTAATTTCTAATCAATCAAACACTCGTTTTATTTAATAAACTTTGCAATTTTCAATATTTTTCATGCACATCAGTCACCAAGTACATGTTCCCGTAATCGGCTTTGAGCTATATCTTTCATGATACCCAAAATTACAACCCGCTTATCCAAACAGAAGTAGAAAAAATAAGATATTATTCTGAAACCGAATGGTCGAATCCGAGTACTTTAACTGCTTACTCACTACTATGCAGTCATTTGTGTTTATATTCAGATGAAGAAACTTAAATAGGGCAAGAACAAACATTGATGCATGCTTTTAAAATTATCAATAGACAAAGAAGTACGACCACTCTCCGTTTTGTTGAAGCCATTGCGATCAAAAAAACTTGAACCGGACTTATGCATTCAAAAAGATACTTTAATAAACTTATCATTACCCTGGTAACCTTTTTTGTGTGTGTGTTGGTTATTTGGGTTATTTTACTCATTGATTTATTTTAAAATATTTATACTTCTCCCCCATTACCTAATTCTTAAACCAAAAATTACCAGAAATTACTACAATCTCCACAAAAACCCATCTGATATTAATCAACATATGCTCACTAGTGACTGGCTTCACGAGGTATATCCTGGAGTTCTTGTGAGAAGTAGTGACCAGTGGAGTTCAACCAGGTCTGTTGTGAGATAGTAACTCACTGAAGACAATGGTGAATGTGTCGCTCAATTTCGTGGATTAGTTGAAGTTAGGCATTAACACCGTTGGATGCCGGCTCAGTGGTCTAGTGTTTAAGTGCTCGAGCGCGAAACCAGTAGGTCCTGGGTTCGAATCTCGCAGGGGGCGAGGTCGTGGACGCGCACTGCTGAGGAGTCCCACATTAGGACGAAACGGCCGTCCAGTGCTTCCAGGTTTTCCATGGTGGTCTAGCTTCAACTGACTCATGATCTTAACCATTGAAAAATTTTATTCACATATTTCCAGCACCTGATCCTCTTAAATTATCTTAACTTTTCAAATTCTATTTAATTATTATTGCGTAACCTATCTTAAATTATGATTATTCAATTCCATTAATCGCTAAAACTAACACACAATTTATGAACTTCACTAAACTATTACACCACCCACCCTAAATTAATTCCCTTTTTTTAACCTCTGACCTGTTCTAGCATATATATATATATATATATATATATATATATATATATATAGTTATTATTCTAATCCAGTTATTTACACTCATTTATGTCAATTGTTTCACACTATCTCAATGTAAAAATTCTATCACATTTTTGGTTGTAAGCAGCTGACGAGAAACCTCGAAATATTATGAATTCATACTATTCTGCATCAATGTTTGTTCTTGCTCTATTTAAATTCATAAAGGGTACCAATTGCATGAGGAAACTTAAGTGAGCAACTAACATGAAGAAATGAAGTTAGTTTGATACAGCACATTCATGTGAAAGCCATGTACCTTCCTGATTGATTCAACTGACACTGAGATCTGGCATACAATTTCAGTCAGTAGATCACTATTCAAATCACCGGTTTTATTGAATTAAAATATTACTAAGCTCAAGTAAATTGTAAGTAATTGTTAAAATATAACAGGTTTCAAACAGTTTGAGAGTTGCTTATGTGGTTTGAGGAAACCATTTACTATGCATCGTCAGCTTCCCTTTTATTGTTTTGAAAGCAAACTATTCAACTGTCCATCTGGAATAAAAACATTGGCTAATATTGATTTAATAGTATTTCTCTGCAACTAGATGGCTCCCTATCTTATATGAATGGAGCTTAAGTCCAAATTTAATATATTTGGAAGAAATTAAACAGTTATCTAATATATCAACGTAGTTACATTTCATATAAAAATACGGATAAAATAATATAAAATTTAACAGAAGATATAACGTTTCCGGTGACTGACAATATTAGCTAATGTGTCTCATATAATAGAATACAGACTGAATGTTATTTATATTTAGGTAGCACTGGATACCACATTGATGCACAACACAACAAATCCAAGACTTCTTAATTAACTTAATTACTCTAAATTAAATTTCAGCCAAGTGGCTTTTTTCATCTTCGTTTTGTTCTTCATAGATCAGTAAACTTCGTCCACTGAGTGTAATTTTTAAGGAAAACTTTCATAAACGTAAATCTCAAATTTCTCGCAAAGTTCTTCATACAACTATGTTATGTATTGGTATGCATGTTATCATGAATACCCTCAATCTACATATGAACAAAATCTCTATATATACAATAGTTTATGGTTGATTTGAAGATAAGCATCTTCAGTCTATTAATAAGTATTCTTCACTTTACACAAGATCGAACTCAACAACTTCAGGCTTTGTGATCCACATTTAACAGTTAAGATTTTCAACTATATTCTGTCTCATTACCAACTTGGTCAAGTCTGCAAAAACTGTTTTCTTGGAAAAGATATACTCGTAGACCCCAAGTCGGGTTAAATAAATCGAATGGGATTAAAAAACTCAGGTCTAATAAAAATATATCTAATCAGCATAAGGAATCTCAATTGAAGATGAAATAACAAAAACTTAACCAATTTTTATTTTGACGATATGACCAATAATTTTTTAATGAAAAAAAAACACTTCTTTTAATAAAAAGGTAATTATAGAACTTACAGTTATTAGATTTGCGTCCTGGTGAATGCTTCATTTCACAAGAACAACTAAAGGAATTGACGAGTAGACTTGGACTATTGGAAGTCACAGTACTCTGATTATTATTATTACTATCATTATTATTATTATATGTAAAACAGCATTTGGAACAAACTTCTGAATATATAGGAGAGGTGAAAGGATTATACAAAGGTTGATACTGCTGTCTCTTGTCCAATAACACAAATGAGTCGGAATATTTCATTGCATTTGGAATATCCACACATTCAGAGTTAGACTCCAAACAAGATGAATCTGTCATAATGGCAGGTGTTGACGATGTTGTACACGAATTAGCAAAATTACCATGTAATATATTAGCATTGACAGATGCTTGATAATTTGATTGAAGATATAATTCATGATTAATTGGAGTTTTATCTTTTATTGGAAGAGTATATGATGAATTGTCAATGTTCGATAATTCCATTAGATTATTGTTAATATTACCAGTAGTAGTAGCAATAGCATTTATCTTATCATTGTTAATAGGAAAAGATGATTTCATTGAAGAACATGATGTTAAATAGGATGATGATTCGGGATACAATTCGGATGGAATTACATTACATTGATATGACATACCATTGTCCAAATAACCTGATGGCTTTTTAATTTTACAGAGAAAGGAAAATGGCAAGTATTCAAAATTATAATAGAATCATAATATTAATAATAATGGGTAGTGACACTAATTTCCTTAGCCTCAACGGAACTCAGTAATAAAATACAAGTCTATTTATTGGTGAGTTTGAGCGGCACTTCAAGTGTAAAAACTAAGGTCGGTAAACAATCACTTGAAAAACAGTAACTGGAAGTTGAATGCACTAACTAATAAACTAGTTTTTCGTCACCTCAACCACTCGACATGTGAATTTCTCCTTTCTTAATAATCCAAAGATTTCCATTTCATTCTACTTGTTAAACTCAACGTAGACAAGCAATGATATCAATTCTGCTTAAACAAGTGTGGTGTGTTAGGTTATTGGTTAAACCAATCGAATTCAAATGATTAATTTGCCAGTCCGTAAAAGCTTTCATCTGTAATGCTTTAGGCAGTCCGTTAGTGATACGAAATTTCTTAGAATGTGTAACTCACTGACCAAGTACAGGTTTACGTTCTTGACTTTACGTTATACTTCTGATGATGTTAGCCGATTACCTAAACCAAATTAGAGGAGGTTGCGTTTGACTATGTAGTGGAATGATTGGAAGTCGAATGTTTAAACTCCTGTAACATTGCTCAATTGGTATTCATCCTAGCTCTCACCCGAAAAGTATAACGCAAAGTCCAGTGCATAATCTTGTGCATGGTCACTGAGTTACATTATACTGCAACTCACTAAATCTAGTAAAAAAATATCCCTATACCAATCGAATTGTAATTTTTTCATGTTTTTGAGGGATTACGTCAAGTTTGAAATACTGATACATGAATGAAGAATGTTCGTTTCAACGGATTCTCTTCAGATTCTAATGTTATATATTCTAATCATGAATCTAAAAAGTGGCCAGGTTTAAGACAACTACATTGTTTAAAATCATGGCATATGAATTTAAGACTGTTTGTTGTAAAATAAAACAAAATTGTTAATGTCGAAATGACTAAAATGAAGCGTTAACTTGAACGAGCTCATGCGTTAAATAGAATAGTGAGATTAATAAAAATAGTAATAATAATAATAATAATAATAATAATAATAATAATAATAATAATAAATATGGGTAAATTAAAGTAACAAAAATAATAATGTAACTACAAGTCAGATAAAATGTTTAATGTAAGACTGTATAGTGTATAAAGTCAAATGAGTTCAGTAAGAAATAATAAAGTGGGGTGAGGGGCGACCGAATTAACCATGTGTTCAGAAGATTAGCAGTGATATTGAAATAATAATGATAATAATGTGAATAAGATTAGTTTTAATCAGTCGAAAATGGAGAACGGTTGTATGTGAATTGGTCAAATTAAGTCATTCCATCATGAAGATTACCATTGATTCAGTGCAAACTGATCACAGTCTCAACATAAGACAATCCTTCTCAATAATTTATCACGTTAAGTAATTTTCTGCCAAAATTAGTCAGTGAAAGAATGAATTCATCTTCGATTCGATTGTGAATGTAATTGAGTAGTGGCAATTATTTACCTGTTGTAACATTTTATCAAGGTCAACATTTTCGTCACAGATAAGAAAGGTATCATCCATATATCTCTTAGAAAAATAACATCAATTGTTGTTTGAAGGATAATGTTCTCCAGGTTGACCACGAATCAACCTAATGATTTTTTTCCTGATACATTGACGTTGGTTATTAAATTCACAAGATCAAAGGAGCCTGAAGCACTAAATTTGCAAACCTGGTTTCTGACTGGTTGCAGAATTTCCATCAACGATTTGAAAATTGCACAGTATGTAGAGTTATTATATATATTGTATATAATACGAATATATGATCATAATTACGGTTGGCCTATAAATGGCCAAGTACAGTTAGGTGTGGAAAAGTCCACTCCTTCTCTCAAAATGCTCTCATACCACGCTTATATTTCCGACCGGTAAAGTTCTAATTACTGCTTTTTCGAGTCTCGGGTATTGTTTAAAAAAGTGAGAGGACGAAAATTGAAGGTCCAGTGCATAAACTGGGTTGAGAGATAGGTAGGATCCACCTTGGGAATCTGGAAGACCATGATCCCAAACTAGTGATGATCAAGGGCATAAACTGATTTTGGTCACCAGTCATCAAAGAACTGAATCACATGACACTGTACCACTGCCTTGTGAATTAGGCCTCCAGGTGAAAGGCTAGTGGAATAGTCTCCCAAGAAAACTACCTGTTCTTGTTGGAGGGACAGGACAATATTCGAGCCCATTGGCAAGTATGATAACTGATAATTACGAAGAAAATGATCTATTCACTCAGCTTCCTTACTAAATACGATCGTGGAAAGCTATTTTCAAGCTACTCAACCATCACTGCATCTAATTTCTCTTTTTTCTAAAAAAACGAACCAACAGCCTACTAGAAAGTACACAAACCTCTCTAAAGAACAAAGTTTATTTATTTCAATAATATTGACTATTGACTAAAAAACAACATTTAAGTACTCGGGAAACACACACGCCAGTAAATCCATTACTTGTGGACTATTTTTTTAGCAGCCTAAATGATTAATACATACTTAATGTGCAGTCTTACGACTAGATACTGCTTGTGTTGACTTCGATAAAGGGTACAAAATAAAACCTCTTGACATTATATATATATATATATATATATATATATATATATATATATATATATATATATATATATATATATATTCTGACTAAAAAAGTCATTTGTACAGGACTATGTAATTTATTCTTTAGTAAAAGGAAAAAACACTATTCATAATTCAAAAACATTTAGATACGTTGAAGCACGTTCAGCATTAAATGTAAGATATAAGTTAAGAAAATCAACAATGGCGACTACTAATCATAAAAGCACATACAATTTTTATATATGTAAGATACATAAACTGAATAAGCTTGTTTTTGCTTACTTACTTAAGAGACTGTTAATCCTATATAATACAGATGACACATATTGACTGAAATGTATTATTTAATGATTTCCCCATAGTCACTTAGATTTTTAGTGATCACATTTACGTTAAACTATCAAAACTCAAAACATTGAATAATGGTAGTCCTCAAAATCCTAAAACGTGAATTATACACTTCCGATTTAATAAATAACAATAACATGTAGATGAAAACAAGGATTATTGCCACTGTGACGCGAAGTTTATAAGCACAATGAACTATATTAATTATGTTATGAAATTATAACATTTTATTTATCTTAATAAGGAGTTTACTTGGTGGAATAGAACATTTAGAAAGGCGTCATACCAAACATGATAATGAAGCGGAAAAATAAAAGAGGTGAAATCATATTATAATAACGAGAATATGATTTAGATAAAGTCTCAAGGTTCAGTTACTGTTTATAAAGAAAACAACCGAAAATTGAAACAGTATCTTCACGGACTATAGTCTAAAGTCTGTGAACTGTGCAATTATCGCATTACGACCACACACAAATATACGTTATTCCAAAACACTATGTTTTGAAGTTCATATTAAACTCTATAAAACAGTGTATCACTACGGTCCTGTACGACACACCAAGCAGTAGTACTAAAATCTGTTACTCACTAGACACTTACCCAACTAGATTAACCTTATCGAATAACAATATAGGTGTATGGTGATTTAATGACTAAGGTTTTGAAACAGAAAAATACTTGAAACTTTTTATTTGACAATTTTTCATTTTAACAGTAATATAATTATGCAAAAAAGGTACTTAACATTCAATGAGAACTTATTTAAATAACGTATGAATTTAAATTCGCTTAGTGATAGAACAGAATGAAAGTTATGTGTTAACAACTTACAACATAACTACGGTCTTGTAATTCAGGAACACTTCTTGATAAAGAAATTTGTGGAATCAAATTTGGAACGAACAAATTATATTTATTAATCTGTGTTAATGAATACTTATCAATATGGTTGATTTCAAATTCTGCAGAGCTTTGGTATGAGTATACAGATCGAGGAGCTGAAGAAGATCGACAATATTGTGTTTTATTATCACGTTTATGCTTATCCCTCGAAAAAGAACGTTTACGTAGACGTTGTAACAGACTATCAGCACCAGATTTAAGCCTTCCTTTCGATGGTTCTTGATATGTGTATGTGAAATCTTCTTCATTGTGTACAGTGCAATGATGTGAACCGGTAGGATTGATAGAATTTAAATGATTAGACGATCCTATGTCAGTTTGACGAAATGGTCCGCGTGAATGCCATTCAAAACATCCAAGCTGTGATGGAAATCAAGAGACAATGGATAAAAGTTACAATAAGGCAATAGTTGGGAAATTATTCACGTAGAATTAGCGTTACGTCTTTATCCGGGTATTTATTAATAATAAAAAGTAATAATAATAATAATAATAATAATAATAATAATATAACCTTCAATAAGATTATAAATACTCTTTGAACTCATTAGAACTGGAACCAAATTGTCGCACTTTTTAATTTAATAAGTAGCTGTAACTAACTAACTACATTGGACAATCATTGTGTTCTATCATAAATTGATTGGGGTTACAAAAAATGTGGATCATTAGATTTCAACGCAGTGGTCTAAATGGATTGTGTTTGCAACAAGACTTGAAAATCCAATATCAGGTCTTAGATGTGCACTGATGAGAAATACCAGACTAGAATGGATTAATTGTCTAGTGCTCCAAAGTTTTCAGTGGTTCATCAACGACATCAAATTTGAACATAAAACAAAGTAAAAACTTCACTGAAACATCTGAGCATCTAAAGATAGTTTTTGTTTAAAATTGGTAACAACTGAAAAATTATCAAACAAGCAAGTGAAAGACTGAACATATATTAAGTTTTGCTTATAGAAGCATAAACTCATAAATTAGATGGAACTTATATACTGAACAGAATTTCACAGTATACCTTATTGAGTGAGAACCCAGAGGTTGGATAAGATATTTAATTTCTTAATCTGTCTGACAGTATGAAAATTCTTGTAAGAATATGAAGACAAATAATAATGAACAACACGTGAAGTCAACGCACGAATGAGTATAAGTCAATGAACTAATTACTAAAGCCCTCTATTTTCAACCACTTGGTTCCATATGTATGTCTTACACCAACAAATTCAGTCTGGGTAGTTTTGCAATAATACTAACCCTTAAAATATAATATGGAGCTCAGAGTCGTATACACAAACATGTAAATGATGAATAAGCTAATAATCAATACAAAAAAATTATTGGTAGAAATAATTCAGAGACTAGAATTTCTTATTCACAAATCGTAGCCTGGAAAAAACAAGATTCGAGAATCTATTCACAATAAACAAAACTGATAAAATAAAACATAAAATCACGTTTAGAATAGCAACCTTCCTGCTTAGTATGAATTATAAGCAGATAAACACCCATAATCACACATAAATAAAAAAGCTCGGTAAGACATGGTTTTCTTGTATATGAATTACACAAAAGAACAGAATGATTAATCAGAGATGAGATTTAAAGAATTTATTTTAAAAGTACGGTGTTAAGCTTATCAGTCACTATAATTTTCTAAGACTAGACTTGATTAACATATTGTTTTATGCGCATATGAAAGAGCTAGAGCTTTCTAAGTTATGGCGATAAAATTCCAACAAATGACTTAGGAGCTAGTATTATTTCATTTACTGAGTTGTATGTACTTTTACAGAATAGTTAGAATGTGGCTAGCAGTGGAAACAAGCACGACCGTGTCGTTCTATTTGGGGCATAAATGATGTATTGAAGCAATCGGCACGCGAAACACTTATGCCAATTAAGACGGATCAAAATTCAGCCAAAAATATTAACAAGGTAACGTGAACAATTAAAAATCATTACTACTATTAGTAGTAATAACACGCTTCGGTTATGAGACTAACCACTATGTCATCATTGTTTGCCCACCCAAAACAAAAAGCAAAACAATACCATCAACAATCCCTTTTAAAAATAGCATAGTAAATACTTTAATGAACAGGAGTCTACTCATTTGCTCCACTGGCCTAGTATAGATTCAAGGTCAATTAAACAACTATATAGTATCAACTTATTAAATGAATACTGAAAGTTTAGGTGTGGTCTTATGTGAGTCATTTACGCACCAGAAACTCATTCATCAAGGGTGATAAATGAGAGAGAATAACCCTATCTGTGGCACGCTACTACTGCCAATATACCTTAGCTATAAATGAAAGTGGTTCTACTATTTTTTTGGATTGATTAATTCAATTCTGTGGCTAACTGATGATAAAATCAAACCTTCAATACCTCGATTACATAGTTTAATGCTCCAATCATATCTTCAGAAATTTCAAACTCCAGCAAATTAATAAAACTGTTCAATCACCTGAGAACTATGTTAGGTTAACCACTTTCTCTCTATGATAGACTTTATTGATATCAAAGTCTTTGACAATCGGTTTCATTTGTCTAACAGACTCCAACCAGAAAACATATTGCCTTTAAAATAGTTTACAACAAAGTTCACACACTTTATATACTAATAGTATGACTTAGTGCATAAAACTTAATTTTCTCCAAACAACTTCAAAGCTAGCTATCGTAAAACGTTTAAATGGATGATGGGGGAATATCTGTAATACATATACAGATAACTCGACAGATGAAGGTCTGTCACATCAGAAAGAGCTTTATCTCATTTATCAACCATCGCTGCACTCCCTCCAAATAATGTTTCGGGAAAGTGCGATCAATATTTTCGAACCGAATACCTGTAGCCACGTTTCACAAACAGTGCAGCACACTGGTTCTTGAATGCGTAATATGACAGATTCACCTGACCAAATAGCAGTGTTGATCGATAAAAGTTAAATGATCCTTATGTTTCAGCGCCAAGACTACGTCAATGATATATCAATCAAGGGTGAAAAAGTTCATAATGTACATGAAGTGGTAAACGCTCTGAACCACTTACCTATCTGGCATCAAACCAAACATCGAATAAAAACTAGATACAAAACAATATAGAATGTGATAAATACATCTCGAACATTCCCGGTATTACCATCTAAAAAGTTTATATAACCCTGCGTCATACGAGTGCTATGTACACATCATCTGCTTAACTGAAATAGATTGGGTGATCTTAGAGACAATATCGCCTTGGGGCTAAAATGAGGTTAGAAGCATTATCGGTGAACCATGCAAATTATAACCAGCTGTTGATCACAGCCGAACGATCAATAGCTAGGTGTGAGTGACAATCAAATAATAATAATAATAATAATAATAATAATAATAATAATAATAATAATAATAATAATAATAATAATAATAATCAACGCTGTAAATCAATTAGTGACTTCCGATAAGTGAACAACACAAGTGTACTTTTAGACAGTCTGGGTTTTTTACCTATTCACAAAAATTTAATGACACGAGAATAGGAACAACAAAACTTGATGAAATGGAAAACCGAACACAGTCTAGATAAGTTCTACTTAATAGGCGGAGACAGTAGAAAATAAAAAGAAATAAAATCAGAGAAACACAACAAATTGGATTAAAACGACGTCAATGTAATCTATTTTTGTATGTCGTATGTATGTCATGCTTTCCTCTGTCTTCCATCCTCCTTCATTGTTTATTATGCACTGCAACCGGCATATATACAAACAGGAATAGAAAACGTAAAACAAGATGGGTAAACAAATTATTACGCAATTATGAGCTATTGAAAAAAAAGCGTGTAACTGACACACAAACAAACATCTGAGCTGCAGTCAGTGGGAGAATAGGCAGAGACGACGAAGAGGCATCGACGAGTGTCCCTATCTTCCTGGATTCTTACTGTTCCGTTTAGTCGGACAGCGCACAAACGACTGTCTACTGGGATCCACTCTAAGAGAGCTAGTTCTGCCCTAGGACTCAATGCTATACCTACGCCGTCCAGTCCACGAGAAGCAGAATCAGGGCTTCCAGATGCACGAAGTGTGAATCGAGTTGGTTCTTTATTTTGACATGGTGATGTCAAATGAATTACGCTACTCGGACCCTGTATGCGCGTTTCGGAAACGCAGCACACATCGACGGCGCGAGATTCTAAAGTCCTAGCTAAGGAAGCCTGTTGTCCTATTTGGCACAGTGTCCGGACGTTATAAGCTCCAACATGAAGTTTAGAGCGTGGTTTCAGGAGACCAGGAATAACGTTCCGCGTACTCGAATCGTTTGCCCTAGCGGTGCGAGGTGATAAAGGGACGTGAGAAGGGTTAGTCGGGGAGATAAGAGAGGTATTAGGAGGTGTAGGAAGGATTTGAATGTGACCAACTTGGTCTCACGTGCTATTACAGGTATGAGGGCTGGTGTCACTTCACGGATGCCCACACCATGGAAGGGTATTTCTTGAGGAATCTGAAAAGGGAGTTGGACTAATGTTGGCCTTAACGACCTGGGAGCGTGAACGCGGAGCCCAAGGGACAACTGCTTGAGGCCGGTCGCGTACAGACTTTTTGTGGGAGGTTTTTGACGCGTTAGCTCCGTTCTTCAAAGGGCCTTGCCGCCGGAGACGGAAATCCGTGAGGTAAGGTGAGGTGTGACATTTCTAGGGTCGACTTTTTCTAACCCCTTCCTTTCTTGTGAGAAGGCAGCATCGCTGCAGATGCTGGTTGTCCGAGGGAAACACCTTACTGCTGTCACACCCCTCCACAGTCAGCAGTACGACTTCGCCCTCAGATCTTGAGTTGCTGCTTTTAGTCTTACCGTTCTCCAATCGACCTGCCTGGCATGGTAGAACCTACAGGAACATACGTTCCAGCCAATATAGCTCGGTTGGGTCATCACGACAGCCAAGCCCGACCACCGCGTCAAGGTAGCAGCTACGGTCGGTCGTATCACTTAAGATCTTCAAATGTAGAGTACGATTATTTTGCGACACCTAACCAGAATCATATGAAAAGACTGACCAATATTTTTTCCTTAGAAATTTCCCCGCAGACATCAACGGATTACTACCTTCAAATATGAAACTTAGTTACCAAGTATATATTCGTGTAAGACGGTTAGATATAGATATACTAACTTCTTAAAATTAGGAAATTAGAGAAAGAAACAAACCTGTAAACCAACGATTAAACAAAACTGATGACTCATGACGCCTCAATAAGTTGGCTGATAAAAGCTATTTAATTACTAAATTGAAAATAATTTCATCATTCACTTAAATTTGTTACTAGAACAATTGTCAAATAAATCATAATAAAATATTATAACAATGAATGAAAAAAGAATTGACGATTCACTTTATCGAATGCATAAACTTTTGAAACACAATATTAACACTACACGTGCTCTCCTCTATTATGACTAGTACTAAGTAGTAAGGGGAGACAGTAAATGTATGCCTAATTTCAGGAGTGAAATAATGTTACTCGACTCCCCAGAACAGAACGTAATTCGCAAACTACTCAACATGCGATTAAGTTGCGTGCATAAAACTGAAACTATAGCTTAGTGTTATAAGAACTCGAGTTACAAGTGATTGGTCAAAAATATGAACATAGCTGCACCTACCAGGTTCCAGTGATATGTCTTATACAATAAGTGCGATTAAGTATCAGTGTACATAACTGTACTAGTTATCAAACAGTTTTTACGTTAACATGACTGCGAAAAAGAAGCCGAGTGGATATACTGAACTCATGGGTCACACAGCATAGACAGATTTTTAATATAGTACATATTCAAAATACCGAGTTTCAGAGCTGTACAACAAAAGTGATGACATTACTGTACTGTCGAGCAAGTAGAGAGTAAGAATACAACTTACTAATCACACTGAATGAGAATCGTACTTAATCACGAAATGACAAATTCGAATTATGGACCACTGATTTCTGGTTCACAGCGTGACTTTAAAGTCTCAGAGCTCCATTCAACATTGGCTCGTGAGTATGTACTGTTGAGAAGTCCCGAACTAGGACGAAAACATTATCTAATATTCTCTGATTTTAAGTGTTTCCTCAGTTTGAGTGAATTCATCAGAAAAGCTACCATCTAACCTGTGTATAATGTTACTTTCCTTTAAAAAACAAAACATTACATACCAATTTTTATCTCTATAGCATGACGCTGATTACTATAGTCATTTTAGCACAAAAATCACTGATTAGCGTTTTAAAAAATGGTAAAAAGATAGGGTTTTGAGGACAAAGCTATAGAAAAATGTTCACACATGACAAATATGAATACTTATAATGTAATATGAATATGGATGAATTATACTTCCTGTTGAAAAACATATATTATCTAAAACTAACCATTCAAAAATTAAACCCAAATACAGCACTATATAAGTAATCATACTATTCTAGAATATAACTTAGTTACTAAACTTCCGTGAAAAATATAACGGATAAATGAAATCATGGAGAGAAAAAATATTGTTACTCCCATTACAGTTTTAAATTACGCTTAATGTAATGTAATATACCACATTTACTTAAGTTAATTATGTTAAAAATTCTAAGAATGTTTCAAATAAAGTTATAGAAAGGTTGTTTATGAAACGAACTAACAAATTCTGTTGATTATTTAAGGCTTTGAATAGTCGGTCTGTAATGTAACCCATCTTCAAATTAAACTGTCATCATGGCGATCCAATGTTAAACAATAAAAGAAATCATCAGTATAGGGGTTGTGGAGATTATTAAGCTTTTGATTGAGATCATGAACCGATTGATGTTAGACCACCGTTGGAAACCTGGAAGCACTGGACGGCCGTTTCGTCCTTTTGTGGGACTCCTCAGAAGTGCGCGAGGAGAGGCAAGGAGAGAATGTATCTTTGCCATTGTGAATGATTTTTAGCCATGTCACCCGCTCCCAATAACTGCCACTTATTCAACGATTATCAGTTGTGGTTTTTATTAAAAATTCTGTTATTATTGTTGTATCTCGACATATGTTACACATGTAGATTTAATGTTGGATCAATTGACTTGTTTTATCAAATCAACGAAAACAATCGATAATTTTTATTTAGAAAATAACTAATTATTCTGAAAAATTGAAATGCTCAACCGAATTTAAACCTTGCCTATCATCACCTATGTAAAGGCATTTAAACACTATCTTTAATGTTCAAGAATTTCAGATACTCCTCACAAATAAAACTTGGACTAATCATTCAATAGAGATGGACTCTCACTTACTGAAATGCGTTTACTTCTTGCCCATGATCTTCCAGACGACTTTTTGCTCGTTTGATCAATACTTACATACGTCACCTGCTCATTATTACTACTTTCTATTGACTTTGAAACTTGATAATCATTTGATTGAAACGATTTGTAAGAAAGTTTCTGGTTATCATGATGTTCAGTTTGATGTGGTTGAATCATGTGAAACTGATTAGAAAATTTGTCGATGTTTTATTGCATTACACTCACTCAGTTCACATCAAATGGGTTGTCATCTCAACGATCTAAATAAATGAATAGGGAAATTCAAAAATCAGTATACACTTTTAAAATTCTAAGAACAGTAACTATAAATACCATATTGATATAAAATTCGAAAACTAACCTGAGATCACCAGTCAATCGATTACCTAGATGAGAGGAACAGTTTGAGTAACAATGATCAAATAGTTATAAATTTGCGACCTCTTTAATATAGTCCCATCAACAAATGTAATGGAGGATATGTATTTCCTGAAATGTAATTAGTATTATTTGACAGATGTCGATTAAGCCTCAATTATCCTAGTGAATCAGAAACAACGTAGCTAGTTAGCTTGAATGACTATGCTACTTTTGTTCAAACAAGTATAAGCACGAAACAATTGTAAGACAAGATTCGACTCTCATTATGTGTAAAACATATGATGAATAATATTTATTCCATTCAGTGAGTTTTAAAAATTATCACTGCACTATTAGTGCTGATATTTATTTTGTCTAATTATTCAGAGCCAAATACAGTATCTCGGGAGAAATTAGTCTTATGGAAGTCGAAAGTAATAAAATCGTTCCTATAACAATTTTTACAAAATCCACCAGTGAAGATGGAAGTTATGAGAGTAAATAAAAAATGCCACATATTAGTGATATCAAGTTAGACACTGACACAAGCATATGCAATACATTGCAACTGTCAAGTGTAGACATAAAGTTTGTGTCAAAAAAGCTGCTAGTTCTGATCGGTAGGTCTGCGTCTGATACATAGTTGCAGAACGCGTAGTCGTAAATGTCATCGACGGTTAGTAACTTTCTGTATTTTAGCAAAGAACAATGATAGGTGAAGTAAAAATACTGTCAAACCTTTGGTAATTTTTTTATTTTCTCATAGTTGTTAGAGTGGATTTGCAATGTGTTACATTTAAGTTGTGTGTTTCACCTCATACGAAATACTATAATTCACCACTTGAATAGCAAGGTTACGATGTCCAATACTAGCATGACGATCAACTTGCAAACACCGCAATACCACCTTGAGAGAAAATAGATCAGTCTCTGGATTACCGAAACAGCTGATGGTTCAGACGTAGCTGGTATGAAACTAAGGGAATCAACTAAATAAACATCCCCTACCCTGACATTTTAGCAAAATATCCTTTAGATTTAACACATCGTGTGATCACTCGGACTCAACATATACCGATTTACTCATGTAAAATCGTAATAATTGAAGTTGCTATTTTTCTTTGTCAATGACTTCAGGAATTATAGTGGCTTAAATAAAAAATTCACAAGTCGTGGTTATAAGCCAACTGGTCTGCAACTGTCTAATGAACACACTCATTGAATACGTAAGATATGTACTATCTCAACTGATATTACGTTTAGAATTTCTGATCCGAGCTATCATCCGGCATTTTTAGATCACTTTTGGATACAGAAGGCTCGACTAGCTTTTGCCAACTTGCGTCATTTATGGCGTAGGTGAGATATCCGTTTATCAACGAAAGGATGGGTTTACTGCGCAGCAGTTTGTTCCATCCTACTTTATGCTGTGAAACATGGCCGGTAAGAGTAGAGGATATCCGTAGGTTACTAGTATTCGACCATAAGTGTCTTCGAAACATTGCTCGTATATCTTGGGACCATCGAGTAAGTAACGCAGTTGTTAGGAAACGGGTACTAGGTAAGGATGGCAAACCAATTGAAGTAGTGAAACGTCATCAGTTAAGATGTCTGGGACACGTGTTACGTATACCCAACCACCGACTGCCTAGACGTGCGATGTTCAATGGTATAGGAGTAGGTTGGAAGAAAGCTAGGGGCGGCCAGACCAAAACATGGCACAAGTCCATGAAGTCACTGACAAGTGGACTGAGTCATGTTGTTAGGTGTAGACTACCTGGTTGGGGACCACTAGATGATAGCAACCGATGGTTAGAGACCTTGAATGACACGGCTCAAAATCGTTTGGAATGACGCAGGTGCATCCACTCTTTGTGTTCTCCCAGATTCTAATCTTCTGTATTCTTTACGTCCCTTTCTTCTCTTTCCAAATTTATTTCACTGAACTACACTCCTTGAATAACATCTTCAAACTCTAATCTTTCCGATTACTGCTTATACTCTTACTACCTCTACCACTATTGGACTTGAATCGACAGTCGTATCTCCTTGCTATTGTAGTATGACAACTTGAAATGATGTGCGTACGTACGTTGTTGCTGACTGACTTGAGATCATTTTATCTAGAGCTTTAAGAATCTATCATTTTTTGTATGACTCATCACTTTTAAAGCAACTTTTTATTGTAGGCTTTCTTTGTATCTATTAAATTTTTTATTTGTTTTCAACCAAATAAACTAACTCAGAATTTACAACAGGTTACTAAACCATTTCAGGAAAATTTCGCATGACCATGACACTTCATAACTGACTAGAAATGCACCAAAGCTAAACGGATTAAAAAGTTGATGAGCGAAAATAGCTACAAAAGAGAATGCTTATCTCTAGCAAAATATTAACCACAAAACACTAATACAATGAACAACTAGATATACTTTAAAATAAAACACATCTATAACCATTGTAGAATACATAATATATAACTCGTAACAGTTTATTTAGAAAATGAGTGAAACGAGTGTAATAAAGCTGAATAACCTCAGTGACCAATAAATCTGACCGAGGTCTCACCCTGTAAATCGTAATACAAAAGTGTGAAGAAACTAGCTTTTAAGGTAAAATTAAGTAAAAGAAATTAGTATATGGTGACCGGCTGCATATAAACGTTTCTGCAAACAGACTTCAACCTGATTAAGTACAGAATGCTGCTTACCTGAAGCGATTCTCATAAATGAAGTCCTAGAACTTCCCAATAAGGTAAAGAAGTTGAGTCTGACATTAGACAATGAGAAGACTATGAGAGTAACCACCAGTGCTATCGGTTAAGCTTTTAACATGGATAGAAAGGTTGAGACTTGCATGGTCAACATACATAAAGAAGAAACCTCAGTCCAGAATATTATTATGAGTAGTCGTCTAGCGCTGTCAGGACAAATAGATCACCACCCATCAAAAGTGCACTCACTCTAAATGTTATTGATGGGGTGAACGCAACTGAACGATGTGCTAAGAGCAAAACTTTCTCAACAGCCAAACTAGGTAAAATAAATGAATTAGTCCAAACTTCATGACAAAAAGGACAATTAAAGAAGAGGTCCCGGTAGTTAGTGGGAAGGGAACAGTAATGATACGATCGGAAGCCGTAAACACGATTCCTAGAGAATTTAAATCCATCCCTAGTTTAATTATTTGGAATCGGCATTCAAAATAGCAATTAGCCTGATAAACGTCATTCACAAGATCTGCCATCTGTAGGATCTGCTGTCAGAAATTCAAAGCCAGGAGAGGCACTGAGAATGTATGTTAATAAGGTGATGAAACTCGGCAAGTGGGTTGAGGACGGAGCACAACCAAAGAGGTTCTTACATTTATTACCTGAAAGTACGACAGAAAGAATGTTATGCCAAACAATCCACATGAGATTCGTGACTGGAATATTCATATACAACCAGTTAAAAACCCGAACCTTTGGATTCAGGGTCTCCAGGTAGTGGTCTTTGGAGTCAATACTTTATAGACTTATATGGGTAAAACGGGTGACTAAGAAAACACCGTATGTGCTGTACAAACGTTCACAGCCTTCGAAAAAATCAAGAAATATATGTAAACTTACTATGGCTTGTCCTTGCACTATTTATAAGGTAGTCAGCACACCATACCCATACCTGATCAAAACGATTTCTCGTAGATTAATCGAAGTGAAAGACGAAATGATTACATCGCTATAATTTTTATTTACTTTATTCGTACGAGTGCGCGGAAATCCTTTTGCTGAAAGAATCGCTTTTGGTTGTAATGACCCACCCCCTTGAATATTGCCATTGTTTTATTCCCTTATTTCTATGCGCTCGTTAATTCAAATTATCTCAACCCTTTTTTCTGTCTCTTCACAATCTCATTTTCTTAAGAAAATAATTATTTTGTGACGTATGTATATTTTGGTGCCTATTTGATTGGAATATCATATATATGTAATCTATAGGTCAGTTTTGAATCAAAGACAATTTTATAAACTATAAAAGTGACAATAACTTAAAGGTATATAGGAACTTCTACAAAAATACCTAAAATCACAATCCGACGCAGTAGGTCAAGACTAAGCGTCCATAAAGCACATCAAGGTCGTTTGCTAAATATCTAATATCCTCGCGAGAGCTTATACAAACTATTTGATGATCCATATGTTAGTACGGAATTATTAGGTCTCCTATTGAGGTTGTTCCTTGAGTTGACTGTGGTCACTTCAGCAGTGAGATTATTCTAAATAGTGTCTACTCTTAGTGAAAAAAAGCGTGGACATATGAATTTTCACTCTTTATGGTACATAGTTTCGCGAATTCCCTCATGGAGTACAGTGATGTGTCTCTGGTAGGATATTCGTGTTGAGACGACTTGGAGTGTCTGGTGTATTATGAGCCGCTATCGGATCATCTCTAATTCTCCCCTAGCTCAGCGAGAACAATCTTGCATTGAAATTTATCTTATCGTGATTTGTTTCTCGGTCCTATCACAATTCTTGTCTGTTTCTGTACTTTTCTATGCTTTTTTTTGAAGACAGAGGGGTTAACATAGTCGTAAATTTTGAGATCAGGCTAAAAGTACTTTTCCGAAGTGTCAAATGCAATTCTGGAGTGACTGAACTAAGTTGTCTTCGTATAAAGTGAGGAGTTGGTTTTGCTTGGTTTGAACCTGCAATGTAATCTAAGCTCTGTGTGGTTACTAGTCCTAGATTTCGTTCTAAGCTGACGATTTATGGTAGATATTAATCAAAGATGCAAGTTTTCTGTGTCCTATAGAACTGAATATGCATAACGTGGCACTTCGACAAGCTAACTTTCAACCAATTGTCAGCCTCGCGTTCCCTATTATTGTGTAGTCCATTTACAGCCAGAGTTAATTCTTTCCACCTCTTATAAACCTGCATATCTTACCATTTTTAGAGTATGCGAGAGTGAAAGATCTTATTTTATCTAGGAGGTAATTTTAGAGCAAGGATGAAAATGTATCGAGACCTTTTCGATGGAGAATGGGTACCTTATTGTTCCAAAAGCTATTCCGAAATCAAAGGGTGTTACACGAACTGGTATCCTTGTCATGATAATTTCCCTGTCGTCTCATGTCAGGAAAATGTTGAGCGTGCACGATCTTTTTAAACAACTGTTGGGGTTCACGAAGGATGTTGTTTCTGTTGGAGATGCTAACGGTATTCGGAGTTTGACAACGCTTTAACCAGTAACATCTAATACGTTCTGGAAATCTTACTCTTCTTCCAGAACGCGTTGTTTCAAGTTTATTTTCTGATACTACCGAAGTATCATCGTGTGTTGGCTGTTGGTTGAGGTATTATAAGTGTAGGAGTCGTGTCGTGCGATTGTACCGAAGGAAACTCGACGTGAATAGGATTTCCTTCTAAGTACACTGCTTTTAAGCAGTCGATTCTGATGCTATCGTTTGTTCCGTTCTTCTCGATTATATAGTACTTAGATTCACGTTGAAAAAATTTGAAAAGTCCTTCGTTTGATGATTCGAAAGGTCGTCAATGTGAGTCTCGACGAACGAAAACGTGTGTACTATATCGTAAGTCAGGTTGAACGAAAACATCAGTTGATTGTGGTCGAGTGGAAGCAGGTTTAACTGAACGCATTGCGTTTGTAAGCCTGTTCGTGTAGGAGGTTAGATCCATGCTCATTAAAGAGGATGACGGATCCACGAATTCTCCTGGAAGTCGGAGTGTCGTTCCATAAACGAGTTGAGCCGCAGTGTATCCAATTTCAGCTTTCATCGCATTGGAATACCTAGTATAACGAGTGGAAGAGCGTTAGTCCACTGAGAAATGTTTGCAGCTGATAATGAAGCTTTTAGTTGTCAGTGAAGGGGTGCTACCAACCCGTTTGCCTGTGGGTGGTAGGCGGTCGTTCGGAAGCGAGTGATTTCTAATAGTGCGGTCAGACAACGGAAAAGTTCGGATTCGAACTGGCGTCCGCGGTCTGTAGTGATGGTCGAAGGGCAGCCAAAGTTTGCTACCCATCGTTCGACGAAGGTGCGGGCCACTGTTTCAGCAGTGATGTCATTGATAGGTACTGCTTCTGGACATCGAGTGACACGGTCCACGCAGGTTAAAAGATAAGAGTATCCATTTGAATCTGGTAAAGGTCCTACCAAATCCAGGTGAACATGGTCGAAACGAGCATCGAAAGTTTTAAATGAGCCTAAAGGACATTATTTGTATCTGATAACCTTAGATTTTTGGCAGCTTACACAGGAGCGTGCCCACTCCCTCACGTCTTTATTCATGCCAGGCCAACAAAACCGTTCTGCTATAAGCTTGATGGTTGCACGAACACCTGGATGAGAAAGTTTGTGCAACGTATTGAAGACGTTGCGTCGATAACGTTTCGGCACGATTGGGCGATCCCTACCTGTAGATGTGTCACAAAGTAAGGTTTCCTTACCTGTTCCCATCTGTTTGATGCGTAGTTTAAGGGTTGTGGACGATAACTCATGCTGAAGATCAGTGTCTTCTTTTTGAAGCTCTGAGAGTTTGAGAAGGTCGATTCCTTGGAAACTGTTCAAGGAAATTATGCGAGATAAGGCGTCTGCAACTACATTGTTTGCTCCAGAGATGTTTTAAATGTCTGAAGTAAACTGCGAAATGTAGTCCAGTTATCGAGACTCACGAGGTGAGTACTTGTCTGAAGTAGAGCTTAGAGAGAAGGTGAGTGGGTTATGGTCAATGAAAAGAGTGAATTCACGGCCTTCGATATAGTGTTGGAAATGCCGTACAGCACAATATATAACTAGGAGTTCCCTACCGAATGTGCTGTACCTTGATTCGGTGTCCAGCAAACGTCTAGAGAAAAATGCCAAAGGTTGCCAAGAGGTGTTAACCCATTGTTGTAAGACTCCTCCGATTGCCGAGTGCGATGCATCTACTGCGATACTAATGGGTGCTTCGGTGTCCTGATGTGCGAGCATTGTTGCTTTAGCGATCAGTTCCTTAACTGCGGAGAATGCTTTTCGTGCGGTGTCGTCCAGATTGATTGATTTCGCATTTCCACGAAGTTGGTCAGTTAGAGGTTTCATGAGTAAAGCGCATTTATGTCCGAATCGTCTATAGAAGCTTACAAGGCCGTTAAACGTTCGTAATTGCTTGACGGTGGTCGGTTCTGGGTAATCCAGAATTGCCGCCACCTTGGTCCTAAGGGGTCGGATACCTTGAGCATCTATAGTGTGTTCTAGGAAGTCTAATGAGTCGGTTCCGATTTGGCATTTCTGAACGTTTAAAGTAATGCCATGATTTTGTAGTCAGTCGAAAACAAGATCCAGATGCTTGAGATGCGATTAGGCAGTCGTCATGTACGCATGTACGAAGTTGAGACCTCGAAAAACGTCGTCTATGAATCTTTGGAATGTTTGAGCCGCGTTTCTTAGACCGAAGGGCATTCGCAAAAATGCATAGAGTCCGAAGGGCGTAATGATGGCGGTTTTCGGTATGTCGTCAGTAGCCATGGGAATTTGGTTATACGCTTTAACCAAGTCGATTTTCGAAAAGACAGTTGTACCTTTCAAGGTAGCTGTCAAATCGTGAATGTGAGGCAACGGGTAACGATCGGGAATGGTTTTTGCATTCAATCGCCGATAGTCGCCAGTTGGACGCCAATCGTTGCTGTTCTTTTTAGGGACCATGTGCAACGGAGATGCATATGGGCTACTTGACGGTCGTATGATTCCTAAGTCTATCATATGGTCGAACTCGTTTTTCGCCAACCTAAGCTTTTCAGGGGCTAGTCGTCGTGCTTTAGAAAATACAGGTGGTCCTGTAGTCGTGATGTGATGTGTAACGTTGCTGGTTACACACGGTAGTTTCGGTTGTAAGTTTAAAGCCGATTCATGAAGCCGGTCGTTGGGATTCGCTGGGAGAACGCTAACTTCTGAGCCAATGTCGACGAGGTAGCGAACTCTCGTTGTCACATCTGTGACGGATAACAGACGGCTATGTTTGCCAGCTACGGTTGCCGTTAACGCGTGCCGGCTTGGAAGTTTCCCGAGTTGTTTTTCGAGTCGGTCGGTTTTGAGTTGGGAAAATTGCAGGGTTTTCTGCACTTTCTGGGAGACTTTCCATACTGGTTATAATACCAGCACCAGTCGGGATTATCCGTCTCTCGTGGTCTAAAGACAAATCGCTTACGCGAAGTGCTTCTACGTGTGGTGTGTGATCGCTTACGGTCGTTACGAAAACTAAGATAACGCGCAAGTGTATGACATAACTCGGTTACGTCATTCTGGGTTGTTTGAGGCTTTTCTTTGACTGAAAAACCTCGGTATTAGAAGACTTTGTGATTTCTAAAATGCGGTTGGCAGATGCAGCCAGCTCGTCTAAGGCCTTGTTTTGAAACGAGACCAGCACAACTTGCACCTGTCGAGGAAGTTCGGATAATAAAAGTTGTCTGAATAGACCATCATAGAAGGTTCTTTGGCCGATAACCTCTCTCATTCGTTGCAACATGTTCGTCACAGAACCGTGTCGCAGGTCGATGTTATTAAGGAGTTGGTCTAACCTTTGTCGATCTGTCAGGTCTCCGCGTTTAAGGATAGATCGTTTCAGTGTTTCGTAGGGTTCAGAAGCGTCACTAGTAACATACTAGGTGTTACGTACCTGTTGAGTTCACGCGGTAGTGCCTTGACTACTGCTACGAATTGTGTACATGTTTGCGAAAAAGCTTCCTTGTTCATCTGAGCCCTAATCT